GGAAGGTGCTGTCGCAACATAAAGGGCAAAAATGTCAGTTACCTGGAGCCTCCTGGCCTTGTGAGTGGAGACTCAGTCATGTCCCAAGAAATGGAACCCAGCCACAGCAAAGGCCGAATGAGTCAGGACCCCACTTCTCACCCCAGAACATGCACCTGGCCATGTATTGGCAGGTTCGTTCTTTGGCAGATTCTGTTTTGGCAAAACTCTTTGAGACTAGTGTGGAAGGAAGAGAGAGAGCTTCAAGGAGCCTCTGAGGCCAAGGTAGTCCTAGATTAGCTGCTTGGTTCAGTGTGTGTTAAAGCTGTGTAACTGATAGGTTTCTCCATCTCACCCATTGGTTTCTTTCCAAAATCCTGTATTGGGCTCCAGGTTCGATTTAATTGTATGCAACATGAAGCAAACTGATAAAGTGTACAACATGCCAGTGGAGTATAAGAAAATATAGACAAGATTCAGCCAGAGCATTGAGAAAGGAATTAATTAAATAGGTTGGAGGGCATTACAGCTGAAATAGATTTTGTGGTCCCTATGAAGTGGTGTTCGGACCTTTCACTATTGAAGGATTATTTTAATGGCTAAGGTTAGTAGTGACACACAAAACGCTGGCTGGATTTATAAAGAGTTTCCTATGGCAATATGTACAGACGATATATTTTCCCTGAGAAAGCTACCAAAGGAAGTAGAAAGAAAGAACTATCTAAACTTTCACAACCGATCCAATCACAAACATGTCCTGTCTCACTTCAGGTCTGTTAGCAAGAGTGGGCTGGATTGCACATCTCATTTAACTATGCCATTATGCTGTACTTGCCGTCTGAGGAATCATAATTGACTGCAATAGGACTTAATTACAGTAATGAGGTTTTTTTCACCAAGGAGGAAGAAAGTAATTTGGTAACTGCTTTATTGTGTGAAGATTTAAATCTTCCCCTCCCCTCAGAGAACTCTAAAGAAAGAGAGTGCAAAGTATTTTCCTTACTACCATGGATACGTGCTGTAGAATCTCATGCATTCTCCTGTTTACCAACCCCAAACCTAACCCTTCTCTCAAATCTCTTACCCGCCTTACTTCACTTGTCTGCAAAGATTTAGTGGTACAAAATATCCTAAGGCTTCACTAACAGAACTGAATAATTACTACCAAGATTTATCATAAATAATCAAAACCGACACCATTGTCAAAAGACCTTTTGGCATGCAGCAGCCTTGTAAAATATCTCTTTGTTCATTTACGGGTTGCTAGGCTTGGGCTGTGGGTGCCCTCCACTGGCTGCTGTCTGTACCACGGCCCAGCCGAGTAGCTGTTGGGACAGGGAGGTGACCTGTTCTACCGGTTACCTCCCAGGGAGAGGAACAAATGAAGGTGGAATGCTGCCCCTGGCAGGGGTGGGACAGGGCTGGAAGGGATGGTGAGTTAGTGTCTGTCTGGTATCATGGAGGAAGCAGCCTAGGGAAGGGGCTGGAATTTAGGGGCCCAGTCTCCCCCATCTCAAGGGGCGCTGAGGCATCCTAGGCCTGCCCTGTAACCAGATTACATGGATGCTGTGCTGTACCCTGGAGAAGCAATACATTCCCTCTATTCTACTGGCTGGTGGAGTCTGTTCGTGCTACTCCCGGGGTGCAGGAGATGGGGAAACCCCAATGCGACGCCACAACGGACTCACACAATTTAGTATTCCTGAGTCTTCCAGTCACTGGTGTAAATCAATGCATCCGAAGATACTGAGGGAGTTGGCAAATGTCATTGAGGAGCCTTTGGCCATTATCTTTGAAAAGTCGTGGAGATTGGGAGAAATCCTGGATAATTGGAAAAAGGCAAATGTAGTGCCCATCTTCAAAAAAAGGGAAGAAGGACGGTCCAGGGAACTATAGGCCGGTCAGTCTTACCTCAGTTCCTGAAAAAATCATGGAAGGGATCCTTAAGGAATCCATTTTGGAGCACTTGGAAGAGAGGAAAGTGATTAGGAATAGTCAGCATGGATTCACAAAGGGCAAGTCATGCCTGACCAATCTGATTAGCTTCTATGATGAGGTAACTGGCTCTGTGGATGTGAGAAAGTCAGTGGATGTTATATACCTTGACTTTAGCAAGGCTTTTGATACGGTCTCCCACAATATTCTTGCCAGCAAGTTAAGGGAATGTGGATTGGATAAATGGACAGTAAGATGGAGAGAAAGATGGCTAGAAGGCCGGGCCCAGCGGGTAGGGATCAATGGCTCGATGTCAGGATGGCGGTCAGTTTCTAGCGGAGTGCCCCAAAGTTTGGTTCTAGGACCGGTTATGATGTAGTGGGGGGTAACCTGCTAACTCTCTGGCTGCTGTCTGTAGCACCACCGAGCAGACAAGCGATGAGTCACTATGCAAAGAGGGTATCCCAACTGGTTTGGCCAGCTGACCCCCATGGAGAGGAACAAAGGAAGGTGGATGCTGCCCTGGCTGGGGGCAGGGCTGGAAGAGGGGAGTTAGTTCCTGGCTGGAAAGCACCAGATCCGTTCTGTGCTGTGCTGTATCCTGGAGAGGCAATAAACTTCCTCAGTGCCACTGGCTGGTGGAGTCTGTGCCATTTCGGGGTGCAGGAGACGGGGGAACCCCAACGCGCCGTCACACCGGTTTTGTTCAGTATCTGTATTAATGACCTAGATGAGGGGATGGATTGCACCCTCAACAAGTTTGCGGATGACAATAAGCTAGGGGGAGAGGTAGATATGCTTGAGGGCAGAGATAGGGTCCAGAGTGACTTAGACAAATTGGAGGATTGGGCCACAAGAAATCTGATGAG